CTGTCATTGTCGATCATAAATTTGGTTGACACTCCTATTATAGAAAAAGGGTGAATAACAATACTAAAATATTTCTTCTAATTAATTTCCTTTCAATGTGCACAAATTCGTGCACCGGGCCACTAGTATATCAATAAAGAAATCAACACATATTTTAAAGTGAGGAGTAATTTTGCATATTGAATCCTTGTGAAGACTGTTCTGTGATTATTTCTCACTTATCTGTGACACAGACTAGGAGGTGTCTGCCTTTCATGGCTATGTGAGCTGCACAGCTACTTTGGAAAAACTCTGTCTCCCTCCAGTGCAGGAAAATAAGATTCTCTATAATCAGGATGAGAAATGATGGTTCGGCCTTGTTCTCTGTATTCTGAGTATTAGGGGGGAACAGACCAGAAGTGTCCAATCTGGGTGTGCTTCAGAAGCCCCTGAAGAGTTTTCCAAAGTGCACACCCAAACCGTCTCCTTCTCCCTTACCTCCTGAGTGGGTTCTGGAAACTGGGTGTTCTTTCTTAAGCTTTCAAGGTAGTTAGGATAGACCTGATTTGTAACCTGGCCAAGTCCCACAACAAGGTTTATTTCCATCTATAGTCAGAAGAAAAAAACAGGAGGCAAAAGAAAAGCTTGCCAGTTTTTCTTCCCTGGTTCTTTATCCTGAGATTTTGTCCTTTCTACCTCTTGGTGATAATTTTTCCTTTCTCTTATGAAATAGTGACAGTAGTAGATGCTGGCTTTTCTTTAATGGCCTTCCTCAGTAAAAATAAATCCATAAAAGCAACCTTTTGTCAAGCAGCCCATATTTTAAAATTCCTGGTTCTTGAGAGTCAGAATGGTTCCTGGAGCCAGTGTTTTAGGCCTGGGTTTGCCAGGTGGCAATCACGGGACTGGTGCTGCCTGCAGATGTTATGTTTGGCTTGCACAATATTTTTATAAATTTTTAATTAAATGCATTCAGGTGTAGCACATACTATCCAACTTGCCATAATCCCTACTACTCCTCATTACCTTACTCTGAGCCCAGTCATATAAACTACCCACTGGGCCCTGTAGGGATTTGAGTATTTGAATACTGGGGGTTGAATTCATACGAAAAATTAGTTCTGTGGTTGTATAGTGGTAGGAATTAAAATAGATTCTTTTTAACTGCTTCTAGTCCTCTTTGGAAAAGAAATGTGGATCTTACAGTAAGTTTGGACACAGCTAAGGGAAAACTATTTGAGTAACTCCAGTTGTGACCATCATTGCCACATAAGTTTTAATGTGGAGATGGTTAAATATAAAAACACAGCTTTATTTTGTTTATAAAGGGCCAAAATCAGATCCCTTGTGTGCTACAGATTCCAGAACACATTATGCCTGATCTTTAGAATAAATAGCAATGACTAAAAGAATTAATGGGGCATAATAAGAACATAACAGAATAAATTAGCAGAAAACTAACTCAGCCATGCAGTATTCATTCATGCAACAAATATGTATTGAGTGCTTTTTATGAGCCAGGCATTACGCTAAGTACTGGGAACACACACACACACAAAATAACTGCGGGTATTGTACCTGCCCTGTTTGTACTTATAATTCTATAGGAGAGACTAATATTAAGAAGTGGATTCACAAATAAATATGCAATTATGACCCTGGCCGGGTGGCTCAGTTGGTTGGAGCAATATCCCATATAGCAAGGTGGCAGTTTCAATTCCTGGCCAGAGCACATACCTAGATTGTGAGTTCAATCTCCAGTCAGAGCCCATACAGGAAACAACCAATCAGTGATTCTCTCTCATATAGATATTTTCCTGTCTCTCTCTCCCCCCTTCCCCTCTTTCTAAAATTAATAAAAACATATCCTATGGTGAGGATTTAAATAAATATGCAATTGCAGTTGGTACATAAGTAAAATTACGGAGTAAGTGAAGAGAATTGTGACAGTCTAGATCCAAGAGATACAATCCCATAGTGATTTAAACAAGTGAAGTTTAATATAGAATATTATTAAACTTTGAGAAAAAAAATAACTATAGGTTATAAGAAAACTGCATGGTGCTAAGGGAGAGTCCCCGAGGAAGGACAAACAGAGAAAGGAAATCCCTCTCTAAGGTTGAGGATTCAGATCTCCTTGGGAAATGCAGTGCATCCACTGGATGGCAGGGCCGCTCACTGGTTTGCTGGGTCAGAGCCAGTCTGCAGTCCCAGGGCAAAGAGGAGGCAACCCTTTGGGGCACAGGAGAGGCAGGGAATCGGAACCTGGTAGCTGGTGCCTGAGTGTGTAAAGGGAGTGGGATGCCGGTGTGGCAGGAGGCCTGCAGCATGAGGTGCCCTGTCGGGAAGGCCTTGTCTAGAGGGCAGTGATGTGGGCAGACAGACCTAGGGGAGAGGGGAAGCGGGCAGAGCTATCAGGCACCGGGGCTGGCAGGAGACCGGGAGCAGAGGACGTCCACCTGGGAAGGGCCACAGGAAGGCGATCACCAGGCCACACTGGGGCTGCAAGGTCTCCAGGGACAGCATGTTCTTGGGTGCATGGCTGAGACAGAGCACCCCCAAATGTCCACACTCCCCACTACAGACCCACGCAGAACACCCGGAAAGAGCAGGAGTGCCCCTTCCTCCTGAAATGTTCCTCTACCGCCCTCTACTGAGAAAGCGTAACACCATGCTTACTGCACAGGAGTTCCGTCCCTCATTGCAGAGCACACATCCAGGGCTGAACTTGGAGCTGAGAAGCAGTAAGCGGACAACTGGCACGCGAGTAAAACAGAGGGTCTCTAGTATAAATTAAGAGAAGGAGTCGTATTTAATGAATTCCTTCTTGAGGATGTAATATTTCAACTGAGGCCTGGAGTTTGAATAAACATTAGCCAGACAGAAAGTTGGGATGAGCATTCTCCAGGCAGAAGAGATAGCATGTGTGAAGTCCCTGAACCAGAAAAAAGCTTGGAAAGTGTAAGGAACTCAGAGGAAGTCCCTTGTGGCTAGTTCAGAGTACAAGGGGGAGAGCAGGGAAGTCAGGGTCAGGCAACTCTGGACCCTGGGTCAGTGACAGGAGTTTTGTATGCTCTTCTAACTACAGTAAGGAGACTCTAAAACAGCGGTTCTCAAC